AGATGGTTCAACAGTTAAGAGTACTGGCACCTCTTCCAGAGGAGCGGGTTCAATTCCCAATACCACACGGCAGCGCACCACCATTTGTAACTCCAGACCTAAGGCATCTGCCTCCCTATAAAGAGGGCGCCAGGCAGCCATGTGGTGACAGACACCTGTAGGCAAAGCACAGATAAACATGAAATAAAAATTTTAAAAATATTATTCCAATCATCAAAGTAAGTGGAACTTACTCAAAACAAGAAAAAAAAATCTCACAGTATAAAAGAAAGGAGGAAGTGCTATGCTCTAAGGAAAAGCCACAGTGGAAGGTGCCTAACTAACACTCAGGGAGAACACGGCTCCAACACTTTAGAGGAAATTAATCTAGGGCTGGGTAGGTCAGTCGTACAGTATGTACACAGCATGCATCAGGCCAGGAGTTCAATCCCCAACACCAAAACAAAGCAAAATAAAAAAGAAATAGCAAGAATAAACCATGAGGTGGAACTTAACATTAACAGCATAAAAAACCAGAACAGTATTTACAAGGTTGGAGAAAAAAAATCTCATATACTACTTTGTGAAAGTTTTATGCAGCCTTGGACATAGAAGCAATCCTCTTAAAAGGAAATGGATCTCATTTTTAAAAATTCATATCCATTGACAAAAGAACTACACTAAAAACCTCCTTGCACACAGGGTCAGGAGAAGGGCCCCCTGCAACAGCTAGAATCCAGGAATCCAGGGCCAGCCGAGGTAACACAGCTAGAACTGTTTCTTTAAAAAAGTTCATGTTTCCCCCAAAACACGGCTGTATGCAAAGAAGGGCAGGTGCCGTCGGAGGTGGTGCATGACCGTCACCACAGCGCTTTCACGCAGAGGAAGAGTGCCACAGGTTCAAGGCCAGCCTGGTGTACAGTCTTCCAAGCTAGCTACTCTTATCTCAAAAACAAAACAAAACAAAAAATAGAGAACTACATAACAGTTGAGGAAGAATAGTTAAATAATGGATGGTTATTAACTATACTAGAAGTTATTATTTTAATTTGATTGAGATGGGGGTCTCATAGTCCCAGCTTCCCTTGAGTTCAGTTTATGTGGGGATAGAGATTGAACCCAGGGCCCATGCAAGCTAGGCAAGCACTCTACCAACTGTAGACGAGCTACACTCCCATCATGAAAACCACTTTAAAAAAGTAAACAGTGGGGCTGGAGAGAGAGAATGGCTAGTAGTTAAGAGTTCTGGTTTTTCCTAATGTCTTTCAGATGCATAAATACACCACACAACCAATAGGAGACTATTAAATTAATCTTGCATGCTTGGGAAAACTCTAGCAGGAGGCACAGTTAGCTACTCTTTCAGAGGACCAGAGTTCAGTTCCCAGCATCCACAGCAGGCTCACAATCACCAATAACTAACTCTAGGTCCAGGGGACCTGACATCTTTTTCTGGCCTGCTTGGGAACTCCCACACATGTGTGCGCATGGTCATAAAGATAAATGCACATGCCATTAATAAAAATAATCTTTTAAAAAGTAAATAAGGAGACCACACAGATAAATGGAAGCATGGATAAAAAAATAATGAAACAAAAACTAACAGCCATGCCTCATAATTAAATGATTCATACAGATAAAAGCTATGAGCTAGGCACCATGCCTCACACTCTGTATGCCCCCTCCCAACCCTTCATGTGCTTTATATGGCTTATTACTTATAACAACACACAAGATACACACTCTGGCCCTAATTTTATAAATGAGAAAACAAAGTCCCAGCAAGTAAGTCACTGAGTCTTAAACATACTATGTATAGGGAGTCTAGATCCCACCACAGCCTGTATAACCACTGTGCATGGAAATCACATTTAAGGCAGCTGTAACAGATGAAAATTTTTGGTGAAATTTTCAATAAAAAAATCAGACAGTAAATCACTGTGCACACAGCCCAATGAGGTGCTAAGCCACCAGTCTTTCTCAGTCCCCTTTCTTCTAAAACTTAGAAACAAGGCATTGATATAGACAGGCTTCCATCCACTCTCATGTTATAAAAATGGGTATTCTACAGTTGTAATAGTGTGAAAAAGCCAGCTGGAACTGGGCCCTAATGTCATTATATGCATAAGTACAAATCACAGGCAACAGGAGGCTGTTAAATTAATCTTGTATGCCTGTGAAAACTCCAGCAGGAGACACAGCTCCTACACTGCCATCCTGGAAGTGGTCCTCACAGGCCTAACATGAAGAGATGGAGACATCCTCACTCACGTCCTACGCTGCCAAGACGGGGGCGCCCCTGCCTAGTAGCAGTCTAGCTTTCTGTAGGCCAGGCTGCCTGCAAGGTCAAGATGAAGTGTCATCACTGCAGAAAGGCAGAGGCAGAGGCCAAGGCCTTTGTGTTTTAGCAGACAGGAGCTGCCCTTTGAAGCTGGGTTTTAGGAATGGTTTGGGCATTCAGACACACTGCCATAAAACATGTCCAGGGTTAACCGTCTGGAGCTAGACACACGTGGCTGTTTAAAGACATGGTGGGAATCTAGCTCATAAGCTAGAACACAATGTTCTGGAGATAAAGACAAGAAGCAAAGGTACCTAAAGCTAAATACAAAGCAAATAAAAGTCTGTTGATATCCCAGAAGAGCTGGAAAGATGGCTCAGTGGTTAAACACTCATATTGCTCTTGCAGAGAACCTGGGTTCAATTCTAAGCGCCCACATCAGGAGGCTTATAATCATCTGTAACTCTACATCCTAGGGGAATCCAATGCCTCTGATCTCTGTGGGCATTTGCACTAATGAACATGCTCACACAAAGACACTAAACCCCCACATTTTGAAAATTTTTAAAATCTTTAAATATCCATGAAGACTGACTCAAAGACCATCATCACCACGTGAAGTCAATTTATCAGCAGCTTCTATAAAAGCAGAGAGGGTGGAAGGACATAGCTATCATGGTAATGTGGAGCCCCGGAAGGTTAGTGACTGGTGGGCCAGCCACTGCATCAGGAGACTGCTTCTTTGTGTCACCCGGCTAGTGTGTACAAGGGGTTTCAGGGTGCCAAGGTCGGTGTCCAGCAGGGCTACTGCCAGCTTCTCTACAAACGACTGTTTTCGAAGAAGAGCATGTTTGCTGCTGCTCAGAGAGCTGTGTACGGCTCTGTGGAACAGTCCACAGCCATTCGCTTGCCGCCCTTCGTGCAGATGGAAAGGATGTGGTAGCTGGACCCTGAGCACTGGGCATGCTGAGACAGCAGATGCTGGGACTCCACAGCAGCAGTGAGCTCATCCAAGAGGTTCATGGGGAGCCGCTTAACTGACTTCTTTCAGGCAGGTCCCCAAGTCCAGGAAGGAAGTGGAGTCATGCTCCAGGTTTGCTGCTTTTTCTTACCGTTCCTGTTACACATTCAGATAACCGGCAACATTAGCCACAGAGGGGCTCTGAAGCCCCACATGCTGCTTCCAGAGAACTGAAATCCATGACAGAGAAACCCAAAGAAAGTGCCACTCAATCAGTCTGTCCCACACAGGCCAGTAACGCTGTCACAACAACAAACTATGCTGCTGCGTCTTCATGTCACACCTCTGCAATCACAAACAGGCATCTATAAAAGTCATTTCCATCTAACTCCCAACTGGAATTACACTCCCCTATCTACAGTCGTGGAAGCAATGTCCACGTCTCCTTCCATTGGCTCCAAATGAAAACAAATGACCAAATGACCTGTTGTCACTAAAGACTTAACAGTCCTCAAGAACTTCAGAAAATGACTGTTTGCCTCCATGAGACAGAAATGGGATGAAAATGATTTACTTTGTAGCAGGCTCTCCCTTCCCGAGTACAGAGAAAGAGTCAAGTGCAGAAAAGCTCCTGGGTCCCCGTGGAGAGGACCAAGTGTCTCTTCTCCAGTGGTGTCCATGCTGGAATGGTGACAGCAGCACCTGGTGGGGACTTAGCACCTGTCAGCATCTCAGCCCCTCGAATGCTGCCGTCTTCTCACTCAGCTCTCAGGGCAAACTCAGTCTTGTCTTTTCCCTAGTTGACAAACTCCCTAAATAGGGAATTTTTTTTTCTTCAAATATGTCAGGTATAAATAAGATACCTAAGGCTGAGTGTAGTAGCCCTCTCCTTCCATGCTAGCACTTGGGGGAGTGGTAGGCATACCCTATGTGTTTGAAGCTAGTTTGGTCTACACAGTGAGTCCCAGGCCAGCCAGTGCTACAGTGTGACCCTGCCTCAAAAAAATAACACAACAGGACTGGGGACGTGGCCCAGTGGTTAAGTGTTCTTACAAAGGATCTGGGTTCAGTTCTCATCACATTGGGTGCCTCATAACAGCTGTAACTCTAGTTTGAGGGAATACATCACCCTCTTCTGGCCTCCAATAGCATCTGCATGTGTGTAGTACACATATATACCCTCAGACATACACACACATATACACATAAAAACTTAACTAAATAAATCTTTTTTTAAACCCAAATGAAATCCAATGTTGATAAATTAATCAAAAAGCATACTTTTTAAAAATTTTCTTACAAAGGAATATTTTGTTTCTCATTTTTATTTTCTGAGACAGAATTTCATGTATCCCAGGCTGGCCTTGAACTTGTCATGTGGCCAAAGATGACCTTTAACTTCTGATCCTCCTCTACATCTCAAGTGCTGGGATCATAGGCATGCATACTTAAGTCAGTTTTAAAAGGTGCTAAAGACTGAGCCCAGGTCTGCCTCATGCACGCTAGATAAAGACTCTACCAATTGAGCCACAAGCCCAGGCCCAAGGACTATTTTAGGCATGCATGGGAACAAGGAGAATAAGCCTGGCTGTCCAGAAAAAGCCAGAGGGCAACGAGGACGGACGGGTCAATGGAAAAGCAATGGACTCAAATTCACACCAGTGCTGGTGTCTCTCTCACTCCACTATACTCTGGCCCAGAAGGCAATGCCCTGAGTGCACACAGGACAGGCGAGGGCCTCCTGCGAGGGCCCGGCTGACGCTGGGTGTCATCACTCACCTGTGCCATTGGCTAAGCCACAGGTGCTGGGGTTCTTCCCAGGCTGGCGGTGCCGGGTCCTAGCACCGGGGCTTTGGTCAGTGGTGGTGGTTGTTCTGGCTGAGCCGCCTGAATGTCTGTGCGTTCTGGGGGTTCAGAGGAGAAAGCAGACCGACATAAGACACTGTGAGAAAGAAAGACACTTCCCCTCTCTTGCTATTTATCAGAAACAAGACCTGCAGTCACTCCAGCTCTGCACTCAACAGGAGCTGGCTCCGAGCAGAGACCCAGAGAAGCTTCCTTCTTGGTAAAAGCCCAAAAGGCAGCTTTGTGCAAACTTTTCCACTTGAAGTAAACAAATCTAGAGTAAATCACCCCCACATCTGAAATAACTGGCAAAATACCCTGTGACCATCACATTATTTTTACTGGGCTTAAATGTTAGAAATAACAAGAATCCTTGGACAGGCAGTAGATGAAACAGTCCTCCCCTTAGATAAAAAGGCCCCAAACTTACACAAATCAATATTCTCTACAGCTGGAAAGAGAATTAAGCAGCATGAACCAGTGTACATGTTGGGACATCAGCCCTAGAGAACTCAACAGCTCTCCAGGTGAGTGAAAGCGACACAGAAGTGGACTTCAGGAGGACTCTGGCAGAAGAAACTGGCTGACATTTTCTCAGAGCACAAAACAACGACGGAAAATGTGTTTTCGAGCTTGTAGAGTTCCTCCACTCCACTCAATGAAAGCATCTAGGCCTCTCTGCCTTCGGTTTCCATCTTTAGCTAACAAACATTACTGGTATGCCCGTAGTCTTTATTTAATTTGCAACGACTAGATGGTTTAAATGCCATCTACTGAATAAAGACAGGTCTGGTTCTTTCCAGGCAAGGAACCAAAGTCTGAGAGAACAATTTACACAAAGACCAGCAACAGCAGAACTGATCACAGTGACCCCAGAGGAAAACCCTAGTCACTGAGTTACACCACCATGACCTGAGCCTTGCACATTAACGCACCCTCACACTCAGCGTGGCCGCTCTGACGGTGGCTCTCTTGCCCACTTACAGGTATGGAAAGAAACAACAGGAAGGTCTAGAGAAGACATTCCCGTGCGGCCCCTCCTTGGCTGGAGGATGGTGGTGGGATGGGTAGACCTTTGTTGACTTTCTGGAGCTACTTTCCCCCAGTCACTGAGCAAGTGGCAAGACTTGATCTCTAACAGAGTTCCTTGCTAGAGGAACACCCACCAGAGTCCCCCTGCTACTGAAAGCATCTCTCCAGCAGGCTGGGACAGGCCTGCAGCACAGTGAACAGTTGGTTTTGGGGGTGGGTGGGTTATAAACCATCCTACCACCTACTTTCTCAGTAACAGGTTCTTTTCGGTTTTTTCAAGACAGCGTTTCTCTATATAGCCCTGGCTGTCCTGGAACTCACTCTGTAGACAAGGCTGGCCTCCAACTCAAAGATCTGCCTGCCTCTGCCTCCCGAGTACAGGGATTAAAGGCATGTGCCACCATGCCTGGCTTTCAGTAACGGACTCTAGTGACAAGATGGACATAAGCCATAACACCAATGGTGATTATCTTGGAAGCTGGGACTAGGGTCACTTTGTTTCTGCTGTTTGCATTCTTAGACTTTTCCAGCTTCCTTCTCTGAGCTTGAGTACTTCTGATAAGGAAAAGAACCCATCAACGTTTTTTAGAGAGAAGCAACAGTTGTTCTTGGGCTATCCAGTGTGTGCGTGTGTGCGTGTGCGTGTGCGTGTGCGTGTGCGTGTGCGTGTGTGTGTGTGTGTGTGTGTGTAGAACTAGATGTGACAGCACACATCTGTGATGCCAGTACTCAGTTCTAGGCCATCCTGCTCTACAAAGTGAGTTCCAGGGAAGCCAAGGCCACACAGCAAGACCTTGTCTCAAAAAATAAAACAAAACAAACAAACAAATAAATACAGTGAGAGTTACTGAGAACAAGAGAGACCCCAAGACCTAGCAAACTCTGGGGTCCATACTACCTAAAACCAGTGCAGTTGTTGAAAGTTAAGAGAGGATTCGGTCTGGCTTTCCCATTCCGTCTTATTTTTGCCTGTACTAATTTCATAAATCAAAAGCTGTCAGCCATACTCGGTCAAAGGGAAGGATTTTAAGGCCCCCACTTCAGGGGAAGAACTGTCACCGTGACGCCCTTCACTACAGCCGCTCATCAAAGGCAGACTGCAGACCCAGCTCCAGAGGGAAGGCAGTGTTCAGCAACTGTCCAGCACAGCTCAGTGTATGCGTGTGCTGGGGGCAGAGAGCTTGAGACATGAAATTGGTTAATAAAGGTTTACTCTAACCAAGAATCTCCTTACAAGGACAAAACAGGCCTCCCAGGTTTGGAACCCACAGCCTTCAGGGTAGGCCTCTGTCCCTCAGGGGAGCAGAAGCAGACACATGGGCTTTGACAAACCCTGACTTCTTCCGGGGCCAAGGTTCCTCGTCACTCTGTAGAGCAGCTGGATGTGGACAAGAGGGTGGGGCTCACGGCTCTCCTGGCTCCTCCCCACCTCTCTTCCACGAAAGGGCATGTGGTCAGAGTTGAGAGGGAATACTTTCAGAAATGTTTAACCACTAATGATAGCAGCTTACCCGGAATGACAGGCTGGAGCAGAGCCGGGATTAGCCCATAAACCAGGGGCAGCTGGGAGCACTTTGCATGAATTGCTGCCTCCCTGCCGAGGAAGCCAACTGCCACCACCTCCCCCAGATATGAAACACACGCACACGCACACGCACACGCACACACTTTCCCTCCCCACCTCTTCTCTTTCTCCCTCCACCCCTTCTCCCTCTTCTTACCCTTGTATTAACTTTAAAGTAAGACCCTCTCAGGGAGGACAAGGCCTCACTAATTGAGGAAAATCTCTTCAGCAGTTTCCTCTCCTGGCTTGCTCACTCAACCCTTAAAAGATGCGATTGTGTCGTGATTACAAACTGGCCCCCTCGCTGAAACCACACACCACAGGCCAAAATAGCGCTGGGACAGACTCAAGGCAATGGGGAGGAGATGAGCTGGCCTCTGCCACAGGCAGCCTGGCTTCAGCTCTGCCAATGACTTCAACCTTGGCTTCATCCCCCTCCACACTGTGGGGGCAAGGAGGTTCTATGAAGGCCCCCAGGCAGTGAGGAGAGGGCTGAACCACCATGCTAGTCAGGCCAAACTCCACAATGGTTTCGAGTTGCCTAGTTACAGAAACTGAGCTCTGTTTCTGTCAAGTCCTTCCTTGAATGTTGGTAATGTCTTCACCTCAGTTCCTCCCTCAGGAGCTAAAGCAACCAAGCAGTCAAGGCCAGAGCTTAGGATTCTCTCCACACTCCTCGAAGTGGTTCTGAAGCAGAAGAAGTCTCAAGCAACAGCTCTTAGCTCTCATCTCAATCCTGAAACTTTGTCTGTACCCTAACTACAACATCTTGGATGCCTTGGGACATCTTGTCTCACCCTTCATGTTGATCATTCAACCATTACCTCTGACGGCCAGTCCGGACCCCAGTGAGCTGCAGTCCTGCTCCAACACAAGTGTATAGCTATAATGCTACTGTGACACACTGTTCTCCCAAAGACACTGTCACAAATGAAAGCATGGCGCCCTGGAGAGGTAGCTTGGTAATGAAGAGCACTGGTCGCTCCTCCAGAGGCCCCAGGTTTGATTCCCCAGCACTGACCCAGCAGCTCCCAACTGACTGCAACTCTAGTCCAGAGGGATCTGACACTCTCTCCTGGCCTCCTTGGTTGGGCACCAGGCACACATGTGGTGCACAAACATACATGCAGGCACTTACACATACACATTAAATAACAACTATTAATTAAAAAGTAAGTTTTGAAAAAGAACGAAAAGATGGGCCAGCAAGACAGCTCAGCAGGTAAAGCACTTGCCCTGCAAGCCTGATAACCCGAGTTGGTGCCCCCAACCCATGTAACGGTGAAAGGAGAGAACAGACACACACACACACACACACACACACACACACACACACACACACACACACACAAATAAAAAAAAATTAGAGGAATTGGACTAGAGAGATGCTCAGCAGTTAAGAGCACTTGCTGCTCTTCCAGAGGCCCCGAGTTCAGCTCCCAGCACTATCAGTCTGCTCACAAGTGTCTCTAACTCCAGCTCCAGGAGCTCTGATGCCTCTGGCCTCCGCCAGCACCTGCACTTATTATACACAAACCCACATGTAAATACACACCTCACATAATTAAAAAATAAGTCTTAAAACATTAAATTAAGCTGGGCAGTGGTGGGGCACAACTTTAGTCCCAGCACTTGGGAGGCAGAGGCAGGTGGATCTCTGTGAGTTTGAGGCCTATCCTGGTCTACAGAGCAAGTTCTAGGACAGCCAGGGCTACACAGAGAAACCCTGTCACAAAAACAAACACAACAAACCATTAAATTTAAAAAAGACAGTCCACAGACTGCAAATGCAGAACTACAAGAGGACTTCCCTATAAAACACAAAGTCTCAAACTAAAAAATAAGCTAGCCCGGTATTTTACAGTAAAAGGTGTGGACAGACTCTTCATCAAAGATCTGCAGACACCGAGTGAACACAAGCATGAGACCCAGCACCCCGAATTCTTAGGAATTGCAAATTAAAACAACAATAAGGTATTTCTGTTGTTTTGTTGTGGTTTGCGTTTCCTGCTTTTATTTTGAGACAGAGTCTCACTCTGTGGACAGGGCTGGCCTCGAAAACGAAGATCCAACCGCCTCTGCCTCCCGAGTACTGGGATTAAAGGCGTGCCCAGCTTACTTCATAACTTAAAAATAATAATGATAGCCGGGCGGTGGTGGCGCACGCCTTTAATCCCAGCACTCGGGAGGCAGAGCCAGGCGGATCTCTGTGAGTTCGAGGCCAGCCTGGGCTACCAAGTGAGTCCCAGGAAAGGCGCAAAGCTACACAGAGAAACCCTGTCTCGAAAAACCAAAAAAAAAAAAAAAAAAAAAAAAAAAAAAAAAAAAAAATAATAATGATAATAATTTGGATATTTCAGCCACTGCAGAACTATCCCACTAACTGAGAAAAAAAAGTAAGCACACATTTTAGAGGGCAGGTAACTGGCAGTGAGAGAATACCACATACACAGAAGGATTTGA